TATATATGCATTTACGCGATTACAGTTCATCAATGATCGGATCGGTACTCTTATTTCTTCATGGCTCATTATTATGATCCAAGATGTGCAGTATGCTATGAAATATTTATTATCCCATATCAAAATTGGAGTATATCAGTAATAATAATTCATGAATTAACAAACAATAATCAATCCATCAATCAGTTCATCAAACCACAGTCGGCTTGTGAATAAATAAAACCATTTGTTTCTACAGTACACTCGTTCATAAAGGTGAATGTAGTTTAAACACTTTACATTAACAATATTGCTAGAGTACCATACTGATACCTAATATTTTTTTGTTTATTGAGTGTGTATATCAATCCATCTTGGCCTATGTTTATCATCTGAATGTATTCTAGCTTCAATATCATATTGACTTTTCTCACTTGAATTGAATTTGCAAAATAAGACCCATGGATCTGTTGTGCTGGGTATAACCAGTTTGTATAAATTGTATAAGCTGCTTTTGCAATTAATTCATTAGTGATGTTGTTTTGTTTTTCTATACAAATACAACATTTTTGAAAGTAATATTAGCGTGAATAGATTGTGTATGTTCGTGAAAACGATCAGAATAAACACAGCATATGATGTTTACACGTTGAGTGAAGTTTGTGTCTCTTCGTGAAAACGGTACGCGCTGTACGCGCTCCCGTTACTAAGGCACAAACTTAATTTTAGCTATGGTTTAACCATTACTGTATTGTCAAGGACGAAAACAGGCCTACAAACTTTGCTTATCCTGCTTAAATCATTATGTTTTTACTAATAATTCCACATTTGATGCACGTGAATAGACATATTCAAAGTTATACTGCAAGAAGGGTACGCTATGCCTAGGTAAGATAGGGAAATCGACTCTTTACATCTAGACCTAACTAAGCTAGGCCTAGCGATCACAACAATTGCAACGCCACACGCGCGTGTGTTATTAGACCCACTGAAAGTGGAGTGTTGTGAAAAACAAAAAAGTTTGTGCCCTGTAATTAGC